GAAGCTGAGGCAGGAGATCACTTTCTCCAGATCACACATTCAACAAGTGGTGAAGCCATTGTTGTGTTATTCTGCTTCTAGGAGCCACCTGGTCCATCGTTCTGAAGATTATGTGTAGCTTATGTATATGTATAAACTATATGTATATATTACTTAATGACTAACAGACATGCACATAAGGTTCATTTCTAAACAATACCTTGAAAAAGTAAATGCACTTTGCATAGTAAAAAAAAAAAAGTTAGCATGCACTCAGGCCTCTGTTCTACCGAGTCTTTCCATGAAACTTTCTGCTGAAGAAAGTTTCAGTCATTGAAATCACCATAAAATTAAAAGCAGAAGATTGTTCATTCCGCTATGCTAGAATCACATCTGGATTTAACTCGAGCTCCAATGCATTCAGGGCCACATAAACCTGCCCTTCGTACTGGACGGAAAAATAGTATCCCAACATCACCAAACTCCAAAGTAGATTATGACAACAAAAAGTTACTATTTAGCCCTGACCAGTGTGTCTCTGTTGGTTTGGCATCATCCCGAAAAGTGAAAGGTCCCCAGTTCCATCCCTGGTCAGGGCACATGCCTAGCTTCCAGGTTTGGTCCCTGGTCAAGGTGTGTACAAGAAGCAACTGATCAATGTTTCTCTCTCTTTCTCCCTCCCTTCCCCTCGTCTAAAAATAAATAAAATCTGTTTTTTAAAAGGTTACTATTTAGTAAGTGATTGCTGTGTGCTAGACACTTGTGCGCCTTTTAAATTAATTACCTCCCAGCAGTCATAGGAGAGAATTACCATTATTAGCATCATCTTTATATTTAGCTAGCTAAATTCCACCCAGCAAGTAAGAGACAGATCCATGCCCATAACTGCCATGCTACGACTTTACCCAGCTGTAGAGAATAGCACAAAAGAAGGTTTTCTGTTCAGAAGCTAAGATAGGCTTGGGAGATTGAAACTGCAGACCGCTCTGTCCAGAGGCAGGAGCCTCACCCTTAGCATCCTCTGTCCTCAGCTGTGGAGGTGGTAGATCCAGTGATCTAAGTAAGCTCCCGTAAGAGGTGGCACCATGACTTGTTCTGTGCTGGCATGGGGCGTCTGAGGGAGTTCCAGTTCTTGTGCAGTGCAGCCCTACCCAGAGAAAAGGAGCCTTGCCACTCTAGAGGAATTGCCAGAAAGTTCACGCATAGATAAAACTATGATAACAGGGATGGTCCCCACCTTGTGTGGATGAGAGTTTCAACTCTCCTACCAACCGGTCAGTCTGCAGAGATGGTTTGGATTTGTTTTCGCTACCAGTGCCAATAGTAACAAGTAATAACACCAATGCGATTGACCTCATTCAATTGCCCAAGAGCCTCTTGACTTATCTCATATCCTCCACACAATGCCTTCCTGGTGTGCAGATGTTGGGGAGGCTACCATCCCACACCAGGAAGTTTTTCTTTCCACTTCTGGGCTTCTGCTGAGGCCTCTGCTCCCTGATAATCTCTGCCTTCAAGAACCTTCCTGACTTCACACCCATCTCTGCTCATACCTTCATGGTCTACCTTGGCATTTGGCAAATGGGCTATTATTTTGTTCGTGAGTATTTTAAATGGCCTGTTTTGTATGTTTTATTTCCCTTCATTAAGTCAAGAACAAGGATCACGTCTTTTACTCATTTGGCTTCCCACCCATAACACATAGCATTCTCTTCATGCACAACACGTCAGCACACCTTTGTTGACTGACTTTTACTTCCTCTGCCCAGCCTCCAACATAAAGAAGAACATGCACAGGCAAAAAGGAAGGAGAATAAGGCAGAGGTCTGAATTTGCCTGTCTTCTGAAAAATAGAGAATTCTCTCTGGGAATTCTCATGTGGGTTTCTTGATTGTCAATCAGATGTCACTCAGGCATTGATTACTTTTGAAAACAAGCAGAACTAAGACTCACTGAAGACTTCTAGGCCGGCTTCCTTACATATATTATTTCAATTAATTCTCACAACCATAAATAGCAATACATGTTTTTCTCATTGTGGAGATGAGAAAAACGACTCTAGGATGTCAATTCATTTTCCCAAGGCCTTCTTGATTCAAAAGCCGCCCTAATTCCAAAGCCTGTGATTTCCCACTCAGCGGCACAGCCCACAGTTCCACCCCAGGGTTTATTTCTCCATCCGGTCCCTTTCATTCCCTTTCTTTGTATCTGACAGTTTTATCTACAATTTGTATAATGTGGACTCCAAGGGAGATTGATAGTAAACTCATGAGTGAAGGGATCAGGAAAGAGGAAAAATGAACAAGATTTTCCGAGCCCTCCACTCTATGCCGGGCTATATGCTAGCTTCCTTTCACAAGGTCATTTCTTTACACTTCTTAATGTAGCATTATGCAAATGAGAAAAACAAGGCTCAGAAAGACATGTAGCTTGCTTACGGTTGCACAGCAAGTAAGTGGTCGGGTCAGGATTCAGCCCCAGGACCATCTAATACCAAAGCACAAGCATGGAACTTCCTAGAAAAATAGTGGCATTCCACTAACGCAGTAGACTCCGTTTTCAGAATTTAGGACTGTGGCCTTCGCATGTTATCAGGCTCACTGGGTAATTTGTCAGTATGAATGGAACAAGACTCTAAAAACCATGAACTTTTGACATTGGTGATGTCAGACACTTGTGATGTGGCTCACTGGAGCCCATGGAGGAGACAGAAGAGGTCACAGGCCAAAACTACACATCCAGCCATCCTCCAGGGGCTGATTGCCTGTGAACATGCTGCTCGTACATGCTGTCTGCTGACAGGAGACCCTGGAAACCACCAGTCCCACGGAACAAGCTTCCTCTCTGTAGGCAATCTCCGAGGGAGAAACCCGTGCTTGACCATCCTCTGGGAATGGAGCACCCTGAATTAACGTTGCACACAGTGGATTAAAAAAAAAAGCTTTTAGAACAGAGTGGTTGTGGAAACTCGTTCCTTTCTCCACTCTGTGGTCATTTATTTCCTTCTGGCAACACCCTGAATTTCCTTTGAGCCCCACTCTCCCCTACTGTTGGTAGATTGATTCTCCTTGTGACTCCCAGAGTATGTAGGTGACCAGATGCAGCCAATAAGAGCCATATGTCCCTTTCCTGATCACAGTAATGTGTCCAAATGAGCATGCAACCCAAAGACATGCAATGAGACTTTTGCCTGGACTGTAGGTAGAGGGGCACTGTCTTCCCTTCTGCGTTTGAGCCTGGCATGATGTTGGCCTGGAGTTACCAGCATCCTTTTTAGTTCTGCATAAAGCTAAAAAATAAAGTCACCACAGAGGAAAGCAGAGAGAGTGGTCTGGACTGAATATCTGTGTCCTCCAAAATTTACATGTTGAAATCCTAATCCCAATGTGATAGTATTAGTTGGTAAGGACTTTGGGAGGTGATTAGGTCATAAGGGTGGCTCCCTCATCAGCGGAACTTAGTGCCTTTATGAAGGAAACCCCGAGAGCTCTCCCACTACTCCTACCATGTAAAGACACAGCAAGAAGACAGCAGGCTGGGAATGAGGAAGCCAGTCCCCATCAGACACCTAATCTGCTGGCAATCTGATCTTGGACTTCCAGCCTCTGGAACTAGGAGAAACAAATGGTTGCTTTATAAGCCACCACGTCAATGCTATTTTTTTAGACAGCAGACCACATGGAGTAAGACAGACATAAAATGAAGACGCTTGTATCCTAATGGCATTTTTTGACCCCTGAATCCAGCCTCGCCTGATATAATAAGTTCCCACTTTGGCTTAAGTCCATTTGTGTCTCTATTGTTGTATCAGTTGCAAGAGAAATCATCCTGACACAATGGCTTTTCAAGAAAAGTCACTCTCCCTTGAGCCTTTGGGACCTGCCTCAGAGTTAATGACAGTCTGAAAAAACTAACCTCTTTATGTCTTTGCTTTAACTGTCACCTCTGTAAGGTCTTTTCTGACCAATTCATTTTCAACTGTGATTTTTCTCAATCCAGGAAGCCTTGTCCCTTTCCCCTGCTATATTTTTTATTTGTCACCATATAATATACTGGTTATTCTGATTTGTTTTGTTTTTTATCTATCTCCCATCCATGAAAAGTAAGTCATAAAAGCAGGGTTTGTGGGGTCTGCTTTATTCATTACTGTATCCCCATTGCCTATACAGGGCCTGGCACATGGTAGGAGCTCAGTGAATATTGGCTCAGTGCGTGAGTGAATATTTGGACAAGAAGGCATTCCAGATACACTGAATTTTTCCCAGGTTGTCCATGAGAAGCAAGTAATTAAGTGAAGAAGGGGAGAAGAAGTTCAAGAGAGAGATGGACCAGGTGCTAACAGGCCTACCCAAAGCGTTTATCCTGAGAGCTACAGGAGCCGTTTGAAGGTTGTAAGGAGAGAAGATCTGGGTTTCTTGACAGTGGCTGCCAGGAATCCCCTGTTAGGGCTGCTCATCTCCATTCTTGGGACTTGCTCTGGCTGCATTTGGCCCGAGAGCAGCAGCTGTGATTACTGATGGCTGGAAAACAGGGTCTCTCTGGTATGGAATTTGGGCGACTGTAATTACAGATAATGGGACTCAATTTGCCTGTCAGGAATTTGCACAGTTGGCTCTATCACTGGAATTTAAATATTTTACGTTCTGTTGTGCACTGAAGTTCAGACAGCAGGAGAAGCAGAAGTGGCCACAGTTTTTTTTTTATCAGCTCATAAGTTGGCCTTGGAGTGGTCCTGGCCCTTCCTTGAGGAGCAGGCTTTCCCTGAGCAAGCCCATTCCCAACCTCTCTCCTCTCCCCCTCCTCCTCCTTGTTCTCCCTCCCCAACTCCCTGAAAAGGTTTAGTCACTTTTCTTAGGTACCAGGCTTGGGGAGCTAAGGAAGCAGGACCTGCTGTTACAGTGATACTGTGTCATTCTCCTGGAGTCCATGGCTAGTTGGAAGAACTGTATCCACCCAGATCTCCCACCTGCCCAAGGCTAAACATATCCTTACACTTCACTGACTGCTGCTAATTTTTAAAGGAAGTTGGGTTTTGTTTTGTTTTGGTGCATCTACTTCAAGGATTAAGACCATTATCAGCAATCAGACTGTCAACATTCCAACATATACCAACATCACTTGGAAGGGGCACACAGTGATTGTGAAGGGCCCCAGCAGCACCCTGCAGAGGGTCTTCAATCACATCAATATAGAAGTCATTCTCCATGGAAAGAAGAAGAGGCTCCAGGTTGACACATGGTGGAGAAATGCAAAGGAACTGGCTATTGTTGGCACTATCTTCAGTCACGTGCAGAACATGTTGAAGGGGGTTACAACGGGCTTCCTTTATGAGATGAGGGTGGTGTATGCTCACTTCTGCATCAGTGTTGTAATCCAGGAGAATGGTTCTCTAGTTGAAATCAGGAATTTCATGGCGGAAAAAAATACATCCACAGGGTTTGGATAAGGTCAGTATCTCAAGCCCAGAAATCTAAGTTTCTAGTTGAAGGAAATGACGTTGAATTTGTATCCAGTTCAGTTGCTTGGATTCAGCAAGCCACAACTATTAAAAACAAGGATATCTGAAAAATTTTGGATGGTACCTATGTTTTTGAAAAAGGAACAGTTCAGCGGGCTGATAAATAAAACCTGAGTTGCTCAGCTATAGAAACAACAGGATGTCAGATGATTCCTGTCTTTTTTTCATGATATTTTAAAGATGTGGTAAAGGCCACATATTGAAAAAAATTGTCTTGAACGTGAATCTCTCAGCTTTACTTAGGACAGTTGTGTTATAAGTTCTTACTTCACTAGTTCATTGGTTCTGTTTTAAAAAATTGACATTAGAGAGAAAAAGGGAGAGAGTGTTAGAGAAAGAAAAATATCAACTTGTTGTTCCACTTATTTATGCATTCATTGGTTGATTCTTGTACATGCCCAGTCTGGGAATCAAACCCATAACCTTAGATTATTGGGACAAAGCTCTAACCGATGGAGCTACCTGGCCAGGGCATTTCTTTCTTTCTTTTTGCCCCTTTCTGGTCCAGGGCCAACCAAGCTTTTTTCCCATTCTGGCTTTGTCTTAGGTTCTTGTTTCATTATTGATCCTTGTATTCATCTGTTTAACAAGTATTTATATAGTATTTGGCCCTATATTGAGTAATATTCTGAATGCTTTATATAATATTAACTCATTTATCTTTTGTAACAAACATATATGATAAGCAAAGGCTAGGAAGTTATGGTTATACCTATGTAACAGATGAGAAAATGAGGCAGACAGTAGTAGAACTCAGACCAAAACCAGGCAGTGTTTCTCCAAAGTCTATGCCATACTTCCCTTGAACTTTATAAATTTCAACTTGTCTCTTCCTAATATCTAACACAATTTTTTATTAACCCCTTTCATTGTTCTAAACACTTCAGATGGGTGATCTCCTCTAATCCTTAAGACAACCCAAAGAGAGAAATGCAGATAAGAAAACCAAGTCATAGTGATTTAAGCACCTGGCCAAGAAAATTCCAATAATTAGTGGGGCAGCTGCTGAGCACGGAGCCAGCCAGAACTCTTCATCCTCTTTCTGTTGCCTGATTCTCCCCTGTACTGACTGCTTAAGGATTCCCACAGCTTGAGTCAGTCTTTGGGATGCCACCACCATGACATTAGACACACCCAGGCCCCATTCAAAGGGAGCACACAACAAACTGCCACAATCTTCCAGGAATGAAATTTAAATGTGTGGTCTACTCTGGAAAGCCACATTCTCACTGCTTCAAGGGGCCATTTAATACAAATAGCTCTAACAAGTATATTTGTCACTTATGAAATGTTTTCTGATGTGCCAGCCACTTTACATAGAATATTCCTAATCATCATGACAACCCTACAAGATGAGCATTATTATTGCTTGTCCACAGATGAGAAATCAAGGTTCAAGGAGGTTAAATAACTTTATTATCATTACATACTTATTCAGACACGCTGATTCAAAATCTATGCTTTTCTATTGTACTTGGCTTCCTCTCTTGTGAATCAAATTCAGGACAAGCCTTCCCAAGGGTTTGGAGAAAATATATACAAGGTGAAAGAGGGTTGGTGGAATATTTCTTTTTTTCTTCCTTCCTCCTCCCTACCTCCTCTTCTACCTTCTTTCCTTCCTCCCTCTTTTGAATTAAGAAAAATGACACAGTAAATAGAGCTAACAGAACCCTACTCTTGGCTTCCTGTCATCTTTAAAATCTGAGTTCTACCCATGCACAATTATGACCGCTGACAATAAAATCCCAACCCAGTGTGAATCAGCACAGAGAAAAAGCAAGAGAGGGCAAGGCTGGGGCTTGGCGCTCAGAGTTGGCCCCAAAGTTGTGAGTCAGAGAAGTCTCTGAATAACCTTGGGCCAAGTTAATCCCAGGCCATGGCTTGCCAAGGTACAGCTGGTTTCACAACTCCAGAGGACTGGAATGGACTGCCCTGGAGAGAAAAAGCAATTCCCCCAGGCCCGAGAGAGATGCACTGGGCAGGTCACTGGAGCTGTATTTGACTAAACATTATTGGTACCACCATGGCAAAAAACACTCCTACAGTCACACAGGTAAAAGTGTGCCAACTTAGTTCTGCTCTTCACTGTACTAGGCCCTCTGTAAAAGTGTGTCTAATTCATCCAAAATGGAAGCACAGGTTTATTGAGATTGCTGTACAATATCTGCCTTGTGAACTAGCCAAAAATAAAATGTCATTACAATTGACAGCATGCTATACTAAAAACAAGGCCATGAGTTTCTAGAGACTTATGCAAAATGAAAAAGGTTTGCACAAGTTTGTCCTTTGTTCAGGTCCTGTCATCTCCATGTCTATTTCTCTTTCTGAATCTGAACTTTGTGAGTAAATTTTGGGTGGGAGTGTGTGTAAGAGGGTATCAGGAATACCTTGTACTCCAGACAGACCTAGGCTTCTGTAGGTCTCAATAATATGCACTTCTTTCTTTCAAAAGACAGAAATTAGGAAATATTTGCTTTACACAGACTCTCCTATAGAAAGACGAAGTTGTTGTTAGAATCATAAAGATCTATAAACAAATCCCAACCCTGCTACTTCCTGGATGCATGGGCCTTAGGCAGCATATTCACCTGTAACAAAGTTGAAGACTTATACTGGAAAGGTGTTGAGAACATTAAATGAGAAAAATGCATGTTTAAAGTGTGCGGGACAGTGTTTGACTCATAATTCATTATATCTGGGTCACCCAATCTCCTGGACCAACCTGTCCTTCTTTCTCTGCTACCAAGTTCTTTTGAGAGCCCTGGCACTTTCTCTTCTTCCTAACATAGAACTTGTTGATCAGAAATACAGTGCAGAGCTTTCTGGGATACACTATGTTCCAGGGACAAAATGGGTAATTCCATTTTTCTTTGATGAAATGAAAATGATAAGCATGTTTTCTGTGTCAGAGATTGAGCCAACAACTGGGCAATATATAAATGAGTTGTGGGTCTCAACTTAGAGATGGAAACAGACAAATAGGACTTTTGTTGTAAGATCTATAAGGGCAAAAGTAGATTGCTGCTGTGAGTATCCCAAGAGTATCTACATGGGATGCACAGGAAAGTCTCAAGGAGCATGTTTTGCTGGGGACTAAGGAGTGAAGGGAAGTGGTGGTAGTTGAGAGCCTGAAAGGCAAGCAAGAGTAAACCCAGCGAGGAGGGAAGGTGGAGATCGCCTCTGCCCATGGACAGAACAACACATGCCCAGGCACAGTGTCCAGTCACCATTGGTTCTGACCTGCAGGACCAGAGGGCTTATGGGGGAAGGGGAATCAAAGCAGAGGCTGGAGAGATGCCTGGAGGTCAGAGGGAGCTAAGTTATGCAATTTGGGCTTTAACGTGAAATGTGTAGAGTCTTTGAAGCCATCCAAATGGGAGGGATGGTCAAATTTACTTTTTTAAATTGCCATGAAAATTTGTGTCCACAGACGGGCCTTGCTTTTATGAACTCATCACACTACCTAACCCCTACCTCCACCCCCCATAGAAAAGAGAAAGTTACATCTTCAAAAAATTACGATTGTCAAAGGCCTCATGCTGGGTGGGTTTAGGTTTTCTTTGTGAGGGGTGAGTAGGGATTGTACCTGAAGAGAAGGACCAACATGACAATCGAATCGTTTGGCTCTCTTTTCACCCACAGAACCGAACCTGTGGTTGTCATAACGTGCACTGGAGCTCTGAGATTTTTACCTGATCTGGGGACAATGATTTTCACTCTGGCAAACAGGTTCTCAGAGGCCTCTCAGGCATGAGAGAGCATGAGGGCTGTAACCCAGCCCTGAAATTTATTAGTAGAAGCAGTGTAGGACTATAAAGCCTTGCTGTTAAGTCGCCCCGGTGCTTGCCTTCTATTTCTGGCCCTAACCAAGGCTGTCAGCTTCTCACTTTCAAAAGCATTTCGTTTATTTAATTAAAAAGATATTATGATTGTGGAAAGCCTATAGAAGTGCTCTGAAAATCTGATGACCTCATTTTTTGGTAGCTCCACAACATTTGTGAACATTTGTTTTTAATCACTGACACTTCTTTTGATCAAATTTACTGCCAGGGTTTTGGAGTTTCAAGGGTGCTTTGTCCTACCAATCAGGATCCATTTATCTGAGGCTCTGTCTCTAACCTAAACACACCACGCCCGCGTAAATAAAAACCCCACTAAGCCCAGCAACAGGTAAGATCTGGAAAGCTGACTTCGAAAGTGGATTAAAAGAAAAAGCCCAAACTTTCTATGTTGCAATCCTGTATTGCCCTCATTCACCAGAAGGCTTTTCTAATACGACATTTGTCTTGGCAGATAAAGTGTCACATACTAAGCAGGTGATAAGTGGCATAGCTCGATGGAAACATTTGGGAAAGCAAGTCAGAGACAAATGACAAGTTGGAATGTGTAACTGTCAGCACAGACAAGCCAAGGTCCCAACACAAAAGTTATTTTGAAGGCTCCTCTGTGTCTTGGCAACCCTGCCAAAGTGAGACAGGCCTGGGCTTACATTTAAAATCAGTCTCCTTGTGAGTGTGAGTGTGTGTGTGTGTGCCTGTGTTTTACACAGCTGCTGTCTTTCTGTCACTGAATACTTAAAGTAGAAAACCAGGAGGCAGTGTTATACTGAAACGAAAAGCGAGAGACGAAGACCTTTGAGAGAAAAAAAGAAGTAAAGCAGATTTTCAAATAGACCTGATATCCACTTCAAGAAACCAGCTAAAATTACCTCAGCCGCAGAGTGTCTTGTGTCACAGCTTTGTCCTTAATGTATGCTGAGGCCAAGGCCTCCCCACGTGGATCTCCAGTTGTAGCTCAGCTGGGAATTATACACCCACTGGGGTCTGCAGGTCAAGATTTAAGTGCATTAACAGAGGGGCTCTTCAAGCTAATGTGACAGAGACCCATCAAATTGAAGCCAGAAAGGGGAAAGAAAACAAAATCAAATAGCTCTTTTATAAACTTCAATGAAGATTCACAAACTGAGATGCAGATGTGAAATTTTTGAACATTTAAGAGAGAGAGAAACATGGACTTGTTCTTCCACTTATCTATGCATTCACTGGTT